CGGCGACTCATGGAAGCCCAGCTCCAGGTTGAGCTGTTGTTCAGCATCTTAGCTGTAGAGGGCAGTGTCACTGGCCCTCATATGTGGGATCCGAACCGGGCCCCTCTGGCATCCCAAGTGAGTTCTTAACCATCGCGCCACTCGGCCGGCCCACTAAGTTACTATTCTTTACTGCACTAGGTAGAAACTGAAATGCTCTCAAGGTTTGGAGAATGACTTGTGGCTAGAAGTCTCCATTACAGGATGAGGGGAAAAGTGCAAAACAAATTAGGCCTTGCTAGAAAAATACTGAAAACAAAACAAAACGAAATATCAGCAAGCTATACAATTAACACTTTCCTTACAATCACACTACCATCTGATAATGTCAGAGATACCTGGGATCCTGCATATATCCTTTACCATGGTCTACAGTGGGTGAGGAAACATACAGGGATACATTTTTTGTTTGCACCAAGGAGAAATAGGCCTTAATGTCCAGAAACCTGCTAGTCTCCCTCAAAGTCTTGATCAAATCAGGATGAAAGCCCAAAGAAAAAGCCTAAAAGCCACGATTACACCCATCATCCAGACATGATCTTTGAATACCATTTCTCACTGACAGGAAACAGGACTCCTTGGGGAAATGGCTGATTAGAGATCTAGCACAGGGAATACACCAAGTTCCTTACAGAAGAATTCTAGTTAGTAAATGTGAGGAAATGAGAGAATTAGAAAATCAGCACTTTGCAACCCTTAGTGAGATCATCGGTGATAGACTCATTTGATAACAGGTCAGCAGAGGACTGCACACGGGAGAGATCAGGTTATCATCACCTCAACCTACTGATTAATCATTGAAAGTGGATAACCAGAAACTGTATACCTCCTGTTGAGAAGCAATATGAAGTCTCTAACATCAATTACAAACTATTTTTGTCAAAAAAGCTGAACCAGAATCTAATCAAGCCTCTAGAGCAGACGTCCATTTGTAGAAAATATAAGAAAACAGAAAGATATATTAAATGACAAATAGATAAAAGGAACAAACAGGTAAATTCAGAATATGGGACATTTCAACAGGACACAGACCCAATTTCTGCAATAAAACAATGACATGAAAAAAAGTTGGGGAAGGGAAGAGAGACTGCTCCATTTAAAACAAACATAAAAACCAAATGTGACATAGGACCTTATTTAGATCCAGACTTTAACCAATTAATCAACTATACAAAATCATTTTTAGATAACTGGGAAAATTTGACAATCGATTTATTAGTTAATATAACAAGAAAGTATTGTTAAATTTTTTAGGTTTGATAATAGCCTCGTGGTTATGTAAAAAGAATGTCCCTATTGTTTAGAGATGTATACTGAAATACAAGTCTAATAACATGAAATTTGCTTTAAAATATTTAAACAAAGGGAAAAAAGGACATAGAATGCAAATGTGGCAAAATCTTGGTGACTAGTAAGTATGAGTGATGAACACAAAGAGGTTCACGGAACTATTCTGTTTTCAGGTACGTTCCAAAGTTTTTTACAATTAAAGTGGGGGAGCTAATCAGAACCACCACAACCTGGGACATTTATTGTACATTTCTTTCAGGGAGGACAAAGTACTTTCACATGAACCATAATAGCATCCACAATAGTAGCTAATATTTAATAAACTTATTATGTGCCAGATACTTCAAGCACTTTACATGCATTAACTCACTGCATCTATCTTCCTTAGTTTTATACCACACAATGTCAAGTCTACTTGCTCCAGTTTACTTTACCTGATATACTTGGTCTGTAGTACTGTTCTTTTTCACCCTAACTGTAACTGTTGTCCCATCTGGTAATGCTACTCTCAGCTCGACGTCAGACACACCATTGTAGTTCTGGGGAAAAGACACAGAGAAAGAATTTAAGACCCACTATATATCCTCGTTCTTCTTGTAACGTGCTAGCTAAACAACCACCTGAACATGTGATAGAGAGAAAGAATGCCAACGAAAAGGGGGAAAACGACACCTTATAAGTCAATATAATAGCTATGTACAGCATAAGTTAACCTTTAAGATGATCATGGAGGAAAGAAATATGTTGAAGCCAACATGTTCACATTTTAAAACGAAACTTGTGTGAAACAGTCTAGGTCAAACACAGATGAGCTTTTTGGCTTACTTTCAAACATTCCGAACTCACAAATGAGAAAAGAAGACAACTGAAAGCAATTTCAACAAACACTCCCTGGTGTTTCATGGTTGGGTATGCCCGATTGGCTCAGGTAATGTCTGTCCTAAGCTCCTTTCTGACCCTGAAATAATCATGATACCTTCGAAAGAAAAAAAACGGGTGAAACTCAGAAATCTGAGTTAGCCTGGTGCCCCGTTTTCTCCTAACAAAGAGTAAACAATTCTTCTCCTTCATTCAAAGGAAATTCTTCCCTTATTGCTTTTGATGATGAACGCATGCCTCTAACCTTGTAATTTTTTGACTTTGTAATTTTTATTAGACAGGAACAACTATTTAGGAAAAAGTCCATCTTCATTTACCACTTAAAAGAAAAGTACTATTTATTGCCTAAAACCATCTCAAGCATTACTTTGTTATAAGCTCATCTGCAAGAAACTTAGAACCTAATTGGAAAAATCAGACACAGACATATAAAATAATCAGTGGATAACACACTATTTAATACAGTGGCATTATGTGTTCATTCTTGTATTCAATTAATATTTATTAGGCACCTACAATATGCTTGACGCTGTGCTAAGGCACTGGGAATAAAAAGATGATCAAGATTTAGCTCTTGTTTTGGAGATCTCATAGCATGGTGACCTGGAAATTTGCTAAGAGGATGGATTTTAAGTGTTCTCACCATGAAAAGGAAGGAAGGGAGGGAGGGAAAGAGCGAGGGAGCGAGGGATGGAAGGAAAGAAGAGGTAACCAGGTGATGGGCATGTTAATTAGCTTGACTGGTGATCATTTCACAATGCATACATACATCAAAATTATCAAGTCGTACACCTCAAAGATATACAATTCTATTTGTCAACTATACCTCATAAAGCTGAAAAAAAATTTAGTTCTTATCCACAGGTAGCCACACTCTAGTAAATGAAAAATATAAGGCGATAATCTGATTATATGTATAAAAAATTAGAGAATGAGACAGCAACAAGGTTAAAATTAAGTGGCATTGACTGCGAAAGTTCTTGGTGGAATGAAAAACCAATGACATAACAGGGAAGGCTTCAAAAGCAGGTGGACTGAGCACCAGGTCTTGAAGGATAAGCAGGACACATAAAAAAAGGAAGCCGAAAAGAGAGTCATTTGGAGAATTCACAGCAATTCACTCCATAGCCAGTATCTCTAATTTATTCCCCCACAAGGAGCCAGGAGGTAAACCGTCACTGCAGGTACTCGCTTACCTCGTCGGACTCCGAAAGGAACTCCTGCATGATGTCACTCTCGCCAATGACTCGGATGGAGCACACTGCAGAAAACAAGGACAGAATCTGGCGTGAGGCCCCAAGGTCAAGAACATATCTAGACTGAAGTGCAGATCATTAGTACCAGGCGAGGCCCCTCACATATATGCCATCCCTCACATAGGACACTTTAGGACACAACAAATGTTCATATAAATATGAACTAGAACAGAGGAATAAGAGGATATACGAAGACGAAGCTTTCTAAAAATATGACATAGTCACCCCCAAAAAGAGAAATAAAAGTTCAGTAAATCTAACTTTGTAGTCTTGTGTGAACTATTAATAAGCTAGACACTAGAGCGTGGGTAAGGTCAATTAAGAATAAACCAAACACAAAATTGAACTACAAAAGGAAAATATCTGTTTGGCCCAGGAACACACCGGTCAGAGAACTGTAAGCACTTAAAGTCACTTTGGGGAAATGGATAGGTAATTATGTATTAAGCTGCACACATCTTCTCACTTCACTGATTTTAGCTTCTAAACATCAACAACAAAAAAGAAAGGAAGGAAAGAAAGCAGCAGGTACATAGCTAATCGTCTAAATCTAAGAAAGTTAATTTCCTGGCATTCTCATGAGGATGGTACATTACACTGATGATTTTACTTCATTTTACTAAAAAAAAAAAAAAAAAAATTGTGCCCTTTCTCATTTCCCAAGGGCTGTGTTTGGAGGCCATTCCATGTTAGAAAAAAGCTAAAAACAGATGAGGAAGTTTCACTCCATCTTCGGGGGAAATGATTTTTCTTCAGGGATAAGGTTCTCTACCAAAGTTTAAAAAAAAATTCAACTAGGTCAATTAGTTCTTATACGAGGACACAAGGACACAGAATTACTAAATACCACGTAAGACTGTTATTCCATTAAATTAGTATTTTCAAGGAAAGCCTATTGCACGGCTAGCAAATCATGTTCACTCTGTAATGTCGCAAAGTAAGGTCCCTTCTCTGACCACAAAATGAACGATCTTATTCAGATCTGACTTCCTAGGTAGACAAATGCGTTGGCACCCCCTCCCCCCCGCCCCCGATTCCTGCTGTGTCATCTGGAAGTCCTGCGATAATAACTAAGTCAGTTTCAGTGCTTCTACCTGTAACCTGTTTAGAATAAGTTTACCTGCAACTCGGCAAACCTACCCATGGACACTTGTAAGAGGAATTTTCACTTGTAAGGAATTTTCAGCTAGGATATGCCAGGGAACCAAGAATCACTTTAATAACAATGTCATAAATAGTGCCCACGGAGTTCCCAAATCATTCAGCACGGTGATGAGTCAGTCTCCGTATGTGTTTACTGGCAAATAATATAACCCTATAAATAATGCATCAAAAACTAATTATGCATTTCTCTGTTGTTGTTATGTGCTCAGTGAGTAACAAAATAGGTGATTAATCTCTGTACTGGACATTTCAGTCTTGGCTTCCAAGCTCAGGTCGTTGAACACCTACAGTCAGAACCTGACTTACTCTCACTGTTGACTCTCAGGAGACTTGGCGCTGCAGTTCGGGCGTGGCGGCATACACCTAGGCCCCAGGTCTACTCAGGACAGGAGAGCTGATGGGCCGCTTACCTTTTTCTAGATATTCTTCCAAGCCCCGCCGTCGGGCGTCTAACTGCTGCTCTGATAAAGAGAACGGCCACTTCCCTGGGAGTCGGGGGAAGGTGAAGTTGGCAAACTCTCGCTTCAGATTCTGGTGGAGGATGGCAAACTCCCGGTACCGCTTAGAACACAGCTGTCTCCCTGCCATGTAAACGTTGTACACCTGGGGAGCGGGAAGGACAAAACAAAGCCCGTTTACTACAGATTGGGTCCCAGGAGCATCGAAGGTCAGGCTCAGGTTGATACTGGCTAGGTGTATTCCGCTACATACCCAACAGAGGGCATGTTCAAGGTCACTGTAAAGTAAGACTTCCTTTTAGTAAGCACACCAGACATGCCGGGTACAGAAGAGGGCTACTCCCTTAAAGGTATTTTGCTATTAAAATACCTCCGACACACCGTTTTAAATCTCTTCAGAGGCAAAATTACCCGCTTTTAAGGGTGGCTTTTATTTTCAGAAAGGAAAAAGTCATTTAAAGCCAATCTGGTAAATATAGTGAACGAACAAGCACACAAATTTGGAGAGAGCTGTAAAAAGCTAGGGCTGATTATAAAGCAATGTGACCGATATTTGTGTATGACCCAAACTTCCAAAGAAAAGGTCTAAAAATGATGTAAGTAATTGTGGCATTTTTGTTATCAAAAACTCCTTTCCTGAAGTCAGATATCCCAGGTTTTGTTCCTCTCCCCTCTGTCATTAAAACGGGGTTAACAAAAAGTTGAAGAATAAGTGTACTCTAAGGACCTCCTGGTAATAATAAAGACTAATAATTCTCATGAAGAAACGGGCAGAAACTTTTGTCTGTTGTTCACAGAGTCATGCCAAGCTTCTAGCACAGGGCCTGGCACATAGTAGGCACTCAGCAAATACGTGATGACAAAATGAATGCACGTATGTGCAATTCTTGAGTATGTGCCCTTATAAAGTGGCGGAATATGAAATCAAAAAACATCAAATAATCCAAGTTACTTTGTATTCTCTGACCACATCAAATAATGCAAAAAAGAGAATTTTAGCTCCAAATCATATTTACTGGCTTAGCAAAATCATTCCGAATTTTAAATGTGTACAAAATAGGTCACCTACTCATGGAATCAACAGTTAATCACGAGAATGTATAGGCCACAGCCTTTCCTTCAAGCTCAAGAAGAACCTTCCCCATGCTTGTGTGACTTAGGAAGTAGGAATTAAACACCAAAACAAAATGATTCATTCATTCAAAATGCCCCTCCCAAGACTCTCCTGTGATCCCTCCCCAGTAAAAGCAAAGCCTCTAATCACTCCCAAACAGCCTCCAGGGACGTCATGTAGGATCCTTGTCAAAGAGTTTTCTTCCTGTGACTACCACTCAGATTTGTAATTGATTGTAACGAATCACACATATGACCAAGTGTTCCCGTCACTACTTTCGGAAGTACGAAAGCATGACAAGAGCACCCACCGGTCTTCCTTTCTGACTCACTTTCCAGTTTCTTCAGAAGGTGAGAAGGGTAATATCAAATAGCCTCTCACCCTTCGCCCCCCATTTAAATGTGAGGTCAAAGAGAGCAGAAATATAAAGAGGATGCCTGACAGTCCAGTAGTACTTTAATAAAGGCAGAAATGGCTTCCACGAGACCCAAACCATTTTAAAATCAACTGTACTTGGCAAATGAGAAACATACAAAAAGAAATCACAACAGAGGCTGCTTTGTTCTTCACTGTCCTTAAAATTAATCAATCTATTAGTATTCATTTCCTTGGTTTGGACATGCTCATTTGCACATACAAAAAAGAAAATAAAAGACTGATTTATTGGGTTGTTGGAAAAGTCATGACGTATTTTGTCTATGTTTTTCAAAGGTCATTTACTTATATAAAGAACAAAGATCAGGGCCGGCCGAGTGATGCGTTGGTTAGGAGTTGGCTTGGGGCACCAGCTCTGAGCAGCAGGGCCCTGGTTCAGATCCCACGTGAGGGCCGGTGACACTGCACCCTCTGCAGCTGAGATGGTGAACAACAGCTCGACCTGGAGCTGGGCTGCCGTGAGTCGCCGGCGACAGCGTAGGCTGCAGTGGGGATGGCCGGCAGCTGGTGTGCGCTTTCGTGAGCTGCTGTGAGCTGCCATGAGTGGCTGTTCAGTGGCCGGTGAGTGACTGCCTCACCCGGGAAGAGCACAATGATAATGCCAACATGGGCCAGTGAAGCAACGTCCTCCACAACTAGACTAAAGAACAAAAGGACAGCAACTTGTCTGTTCCCCTTCCCCAACTCCCCAATAAAATCTTTAAAAAAAAAAAAAAAAGAACAAAGATCAATGATATATTGCCTGTTTTGTTCCCTAACCTTTTGCCATCTTTCAGTGGGCTTCATAATTCCTCATTCATAGAAGGACCTGTCTTTATTTGCGAAAAACTGAACAGGGACCTGATTTACAGCCTCATCAGAATTAAACGTTATACCACGCAAAGAGTTTTGAAGAGAGCAAAACAAGTGGTTGTCTGACGGCACAAGGTCAGGCGAGTATGATGGTGTGGCAACACATCCCATCCAAGCTCCAATCATTTTTGATGGGTGATCAAACTTGTGTGTGGTCTCGCGTTGTCGCGATGGAACACAACTCCTTTATACTTAACAAGCTCTGGACATTTTTGGATGATGGATTCGTTCAAACTGTCCAGTTGCCGACAGTACACATTCGGATTGACTGTTTGGTTCCTTGGTAGGAGCTCGAAAAACATGACACCTTTACAATCCCACCACACTGAGAGCATAACCTTCCTCTGATGAATGTCTGCTTTTCGATGTCATTTGAGGCGAATCATCACGTCAGGACCAAGACCGTTTGCACACCACATTGTTGTAAACAATCCACTTCTTATCACCAGTTATCAGTCACTTCAAAAAAAGGATCGTTTTCCTCATGTTTAATGTGCATATTGCAGATATTTATATGCGCCGTCAAATGAACTTCTTTGAGTTCATGCGGAACCCAAATATCGAGCTTGCTTACGTATCCCAGCTTCTTCAGGTGGTCGTGAACACGTGAATGATGGATGTTCAATGTCCCTGCAATCTCTGGTGTCATGTAACGTGGGTTTGACTCGATCAATGCCTTTATTTTGTCGTCATCAACCTCGGTGGGCCTCCCTGACTGAGGAACGTCGTTGAGATAAAAATCACCAGCACGGAATTTCGTGAACCATCGTTGGCACTGACGTTCTTGTAGAGCATTGTCACCGTAAACCTTATGCAACTTTTCACAAGCTTGATGCACGTTCTTCCTTTTATGAAAGTAAAACAGTAAAATATGGCAAAAATGCACAGTTTGGTCTTCTATCTTCAGCTTGTTGTAACCAAATCGCTCAATTTTTTTTTAGAATGAAGCTAGAAATGTCAGCTGTCAAAAGACATAGCAATAACATAGATGCGAATGACTCTAGTACTTCCAAAAATGAACTAGTGCCATCTGTGGCAAACATGCATCATGACTTTTCCGACAACCCAATACTTAAGTCCCAGCTGAGGTCCTCTGCCTAAAAAATCATGAGTGTACATGGTCCATGAGAAATGGCAGTCATTACAGATGAGAACATCCATCAGAAAATATATTCTCTGGACTTGAAGGGGAACATAATCAAATAAGAACTAAAGATATACCCAGGCAAGCAGTGCTTCTAGGATCTTCCCATTTTAATTTAAATCCTCAAACTGGTCGCCTCATACACGAAATTAGGTGAAGTTAGTCTAGCTTGCGAAAGTACAATGAATTTAACCGTCACTGGTCACGCTCTTTTCCAACTGGCCATATCCTATAAGACTTCAAGTTGGAATGCTCGGACTGCAAAGCCAGCTGCCTGACGGGACAAGTTCCAGCCCTCCTGACATACTCTTTCATGAGTTAGACCCCAATAAAAGAAATGGGATTAATTCTGCGTGGGCAAAGAGGAAAACTTATCTGATCAGTGATCTAATTTTGTCTCTCTGTATTCCGCAAGTCAAAGTTCCAAAATTCAACTTTGAAATAATTTCTAAATTCCTCACTATGTAAATGTTGACAACCCATGCCATGTCATTTCTCTCTATCCTCATATGACTCAGTTCTGTGGAATGAATGTCAGAAGATGGTAACTGATACATTCTAGCAATGAGCGCAACCACTGCAGGAAAAGCAATTCTAGCAACATCTGGGCCGTAGTTAGTAGCAGAAACCGAAATCCCAGATGTCAGGGATCTTCGGTTTGTTGGTTCCTTAACACCACCTACAGATTTCTTAAGGCTTTTAAATGATAATATCTCATTCTATGTAGGATCTGACTATTTAAATGTTCTCATTTCCTCAACCCTCTAGTAAAGGCAGGAACCATGCTACCGAGCACACACAAGAGAATCTCCTTAAGCGATCAAAAGTGATTAGACAAAAAGTGGAATGATGGCATTTCTGCCACGGCACTATCACCCAAGATCAGCTTACAAATGTTCAGTAGACACTAAACTGGTTCATGCTATTGATCCAGGCGAATCTTCATTGTCCATTATGACCAACAATGCCATCCAGCCATTTCATCTTGTTTTTAAGTAAAAACTCATCTTTAAAAAAACATATTATTTGCTATTCACAAGCTGCTTATAAAAGCAAAAGGAGATGTAGCACTCAGCCGTTTTCTGGGTGAAATCCCTGAGATCCGAGATCCTTAACCAAGGAATTCTTCCCAAATGCTGAAGTATTTAGGCTCCTTCTTGAAAAGAAAAGCATTAAAAGCCAGCAACATGCTCTTAAATAATTTAAGATTACCATGGGTGCATGTGTGCTTTCCCTAACGTGACTCATCAATGGTCTCTATTACTTTTCCTTTTATTTGGACCTTAGGTGTACAGAACTGGATTAATCCTAATTCTTGGTTCATAACACAGTCTCATTCTGATGAGCTGTTTGAATATTTGATTATTTTTAATCCTGTAAAAAATAAACTAAAAGCAAAGACCTTGACAATAACTTATTTCTAACCATACAGTCTCTGCCTCCTTCATCCTATCTCCCTGCTTCCCTGACCCCCAAAATTATCATCCTCAACTATATTCATCATTCCCTTGGTTTTCTTTTTTTAGTTTTTCTGGATTTATGTGTAATCCTTAAATTTTTATTTTAATTTTTAAAGGGTACTTTCGTTTTATAAAAAGGT